CAATTTATATTTCTTTATTTTATAGTGCGTGTTCAAACTTCTTTCAAATTTCAATTAGTGCCTCTGTATTTTAACAGTTCATCAAACCTTCAAGACATTTAAATGGTACTGTAATGTTTTTAATGAGACAGCTCGTTTTTTGTTTACAAAATTTGTTTTTTTGATAACTACTAACTGGTACCTGAAAAAGCCATTTTTTTATTGGGGAGTTGCACAATAAAAAATTATTTATCCAGTTTTCTTGACAACTTTTCTGTTTATTAGACTAAAAAGTTTTTCTTGAAAAAAAAAAAATTTAATGTGTCTTTTTCTTTTTTCTACAAATTAACACCTAATTGTTGTTGATTTGCAGTAGATAATGTCTTGATGAATTCAACAAATTCCTTTGCGACTAAAAGTGAGAAGAACCAAGACGAGAAGAACAAATTTCAATTTTTTTATATCTGCCTCCTGTCTACATCGCTGTTGCTAAATTCCATCATAATAAATTCATATCTTCTGCTTGTTTGTATGAGCATTTGCAACCGTCAAATGGACATAAGAGTATTAAATGGAGCAGTACGGCTTTGCTGTTTGCTTTGTCTGTTATGAGATTCAAATTATTTTTGGCGCCAATATTTGTAAATTCAAATTATTGGAACGCCGTTTATGTTTTTCCATTCAATTTTTCGCAGCGGGTCGCTGAACAGTTATCGTTGCCGAGTGTCTCAATAAGTCTGGTCTACTGTCTTGGAGCATTTGTCTTAGACTGGTTCAAAGTGTTCAGTGCTGAGCTGTCGGCTGGCTGTAACAGTAGGTTCAGCTGGAATAACTAGGCTTATGGTCTACCTTTATTCTTAGCGCTGCTAATCAACCAATATTCTGTTATTTACTGAAATTTTTATGCTCTAGGTTTTTTTGCACATTTGTCTCTTTTTTCAGTTGTAAAAATCAATTTTTAAACGTTTATTTATTCATTTAACTATTTTTTTAATTTACTTTTGGTATAACTAATGTAACGGTGATTGTTAGAATTATTTCTGTCATTATTACTCTCTTCATTTAAACCAAATGTTGTTTTTTTTTTTTATTGTATAGTCATTTGTGTCTATTTGGTTCGTCATTTTTTTTTTTTTTAGCTCAACTAATATACCCTTATTGTTATGCTAAGGTACTGATAGGAGATATAGAGGTGTAGTGTTGAGAAAGCTTCACTGGTGTTATGAAATTAGAGGTTTTTTACTCCGTAACTGTGGATACTTTTGTAATAGGTGAAGGGAACACATGTTACTTTCATTGATGCTGAATTAAATTTTAAGTTTTATCAGTTGGGTTTGAAAATTATAAATTATATGTTTCACTGGCAGTGGGTGTTTTTTCAGAAGTTCTGAAGAAAAAAGTTGTAGTTGTCAAACAGTATGATATGTGCGTACCTGTCAATTATAAAAGTTCTGCAAATTGTCGTTTCTTACTGATTAGTTGGTGGTGGTGATTACCAGGTTTTGCGGATTGTATTTTACTTTTGTTTGGTATGTAGGAATATTTGAACGAGAATGAACTTTCAGGAGAAATTCTATTTTGAGTTACAAAATGTTCTGAGACATATTAGTAAAGGCCTTCATAATTTTCAATTATAGGTTGAAGACTAGATTAAGGCATACAGTACTGTTTTTTTTTCGGCTTGTAGTGGTTTGAATGTTTATGCTAAGTGAAGATTCTTGGAAAATAAGGTAGAAAATGATTAGCGTTAGATGCTTTATCAAAACTGATAAATATGGAAACATTGTAGTATAAGGTAAGTCATAAAAGTATATGTCTTTGTTTTTATTTTATACTCTAAATATTATGTAATTGTGTACCTCTTTTTAATATTTCTCTGAAGCAATGTTACCAAGTTTACCCGTACGTATACCACGTAAAGATTAGGCTTTTAAAATTATAACGACTCATGAATTTGTTTTTTTTCTGGAGAAGTACACTTACTGATTTTCGTCTTTACTTCTTTCCTCTACATAATTTTTTCTTTTCAGTTTTTCAAGACCTCTATGTCTCATAGCTTTTTTTTGTAGGGTTAATGACGAATTTTTTTCACGTGTTTCACCCTTCAGCTTCTCTTCGGCAAAATGTTTATTAT